CCTTCGCCTCCTCGACAGCCTGAGAGAAGATCTCAGTCTTCTCCCTGATATCATCCTGAAGATACCCGACCTGATGCTCCAGGTCCAGCTTCAGGTCCGCCATGTGTTTCACCACCAATCCTAAGGCCTCGTTGTCCCTCCGAGACCTCGTTAACTCGACTCGCGCAGCGCGGGAAGCCTCTTCGGCAGCTTGCGCTCGCTTCAAGCCCCTCTCCACCTAGATTGCCAGAGCGTGGATAGAGGAGTTCACCTGCCAGAACGAGAACAAATCAGCCCGGCGAAAAAAAAAATACTTCGACTTACCACCATGGCATGAGATGCAGCACGGGCGCCTATAAGATTCGTAGGAAGATCGGCCCACGCCGCAACCTCCTCAAGGCAAGTAGCCTTCTTACTTTTTCGGAGAGCGTAGCTCGGCGTCAGCACGCTCCCAACCTCATCGTGACTTCCTGAGCCTGAAGGCATAGCCCGGGTATAAGCAGTATCGGCATAGGGGAACCCTGCCACTTCTTGAACTGGAGGGGCCACCTTGGGCTCCCCAGGAGGCTCCATTCTTGGTGCCTCGGGCTCCGCAACCCGGGAAGGATCGAAACGGACCCGCTTAGCGGCTCGCTTCCTCCTCCTCATACCTTCAAACAAGTTTGGACCTCGAGTCTTCTCTGCCTCCATAACACCTGCAAAAGAGCTCGGCATCAAAAGACGAGAATAAAAAATAGCAAAAGCAAGCCACTGAGCAAGAAACCTACCCAAACTCAGACCGGCCTGGATAAGCTTGGCCTCCAACAGGTAGACTTGGCATTTGAGTCCAAGTCGGGCCCAGTCCTAGAGGCCCTTCACCGTTTCTTCATCTAACGTGGCACCGGGATCAGGAACGGCCAACCCCCACTCGGTAGGAAACGGCCACCCCGTAGCACTTCGAACCACGAAGTAGTCCCGCTTCCATGCCGGGACCTTATTCGAAAGATCGTGCAAAAGCTTGAACCTCGGGCGAGGAGATAAGTAGTAGACCCACCTACGCTCGGGCAGGGGACCCGCTTGCTTCTTAAGCATAAGAATGGCGGAAAAGATTTCCAAGTCCAATGGAAGGCAGTGTTCGCAACAAATGAAGAAGGTCCCAACAAGTTTACGAATGGAGTTCGGGTGGAGCTGACCAACAGTAACGCTGAAGTGATTCATGACCTCGACGATAAGGGGATGAAAAGGAAGGCGCAGCCCGGCAACAAGCTCCTCCCGGAATATCACGATCTCGTATGGACCGTGCTCCCAAGGAAAGTCGCCCGAGGGTAAAATATAAGTATACTCCTCGGGCAAGTTCTACTGAGCGATAAGAGACCAAAGCCTCTTGGGCGTCATAGTGGAAGGCCCGAACTTATCTGGCACCTGACCTCGACGAGAGGTGGATGCCAAGCTACCCGAGGTGACTCGACCTACGGGCTCGAACTCGAGCTCTACCTCGGGCCCCGCCTCGGACTCACTAAGGCTGTCAGGGGCAGCATCTCGTTTCGTAGAACCAGCATCTAACCCCCCCCAGAAGACTATCCAAACTACCCGAATAGCTACCGGAATACGAAAAATGATGCGAGCTGACAGCCTTGGACGCGAGCTCAAGGAACGAATGCTGAAGAATGGCGAAGGAAAGTGACCAGGGCCCCCCCACTATTTATAGCCACTATACTCGCGCATCAACGGCCAAGATCAAAACCATCCAACGGCTCCCCGCAAAACCGGCTGCGCGCCCCCCGAGGAGAAGCCAGTTTAGTGTGCATTTTTGACGTTCAAAAATTTGAAATTGTTTGGTGTCCGTGCGTGAGCTGCACGTAATCCGGGATTGACCCCTAGTCGAACCAAGCCGACCCTGATCGGGCCAAGAACACAAGCAGGTCAGACCGGAGAAGTTCTAAACCAAGGCCAAAGCGTCACAAGGCAAATCCACCCGTCATCCCGTGAACTCCCCGCGCAGGGTCAGGACCCTGGGTGCGGGGAGTGGGGGGAAATTGATGGAGGGAGATTTGGCCCGACCCCTTGGCCACGCGTCACATGGAAGCAACCGAGAGTGACTTGGCAGAAGTGCCAGCTTGGCACGACAGCGGGCCCATAACCCGAGCTCTGAGAAGAGGAGTCCCGAGCTCCCCCAAAAAAAAGGGGAACCCATGACCCAAGCTCTCCCTTGGAGGTCATGAGCCTTACAAGGAGCGCAAAGGGCAAAAACCCAAGCTGACCCACCCCGGGGCAGTTCGGGCCACACTTCTATCTGAACTCAAGACTTCACCTCGCACACCACTTCGGCTCCAAGTCGCCTGACTGAACAACCGTACCTGACGCCCAGGAAGCCCGTACACGGAGGCGGCGCACCTGACTGATTAGGGGTCCGACACATGACTACCGCCCTCCAACGGCCACCTGTCACCGCCATCTCAGACATGGTAGAGACGGCCCTAACAAGGAAGATGGTGGCGGTTATGACACCCAAACTGGCAACTGGTAGAGGTTATGACACCCGAACTGGCAACTGGCAGAGGTTATGTCACCCGAACTGGCATCTGGCAGAGATGATGACACCCGATATGGCGGAGGTGATGATGCCTGATCTGGCAGAGGTATGGGAGTGAGTATACCAGGGTGATTATAAAAAGCCCCCTTCCCCCAAAGAAGGAGGTATGTGATTTCTATGCTTTCTGGTCTTGAAGTTCCTCATTTCTCTTGCCTTCTCAAGAGCATTAACTTGAGCTTCGAAGTGTTTCAACCGGGTTCCTTCCCGGAAGTCTCCATTTTCTTCCTTATTTCAGGCACCTCTAATTTCGTCAGAGGCGAGGTAACCGGCAGTTAGGACCGACCGAATTGCGCATCATCAGCTATTAATGTTATTCAAAAGAAAACTGAGCAAAACAACACAGAATTGTTTTACATTTCTGAAATGTAAAATTGCCAATATGTATCTTCTTTCTAACATTTTATCGGACCACTTTTCTTTTTCTTTTGAATGACAAAGATATCATTGGCAAGATAGATCAATTTGGGCTTGGCTTGGGCCCGCCAAAGCCCAAATTCAAGTAAATTTCAAGTCCCAATTTCCTCTTCTTTTAGTGATATATAACTGTTTTAGGTTTGTTACTGGTGAATATGAATAGTTAATTTATACTCTGTAGGCGTAGGTCTTCACTCTTCATCACCAGCAATGCTTTTAGTTGAAGTTATGTAATTCTACCAAGGATTAAATGTAATTCTTAAACAATTCTGTCCTAATCCTAATTAATATATCCATCTCTCTTTCCTTTGTATTCATCTTATGCTTACTTCGCACCTTTAGTCATTGAATATAATGGTACTGAACTACACATGTGAGTCTGTAACTTTAGTTAATTAGTTAGCTTCCATAAAATAGATCTAAGGCATGTTATATCTTTAACTAAATGCTACCTCAAAATATATTAATAAATATCTTAAAAAAGCAAGTTTTATGCTCTTCTTCTGAGAAAAAATAATTGAATCACTTATACAGCCCCCCATCCTCTTATTCTGTCATTTTTACTAACAAATGAAAATAGAATCACTTTATAACTCCCATGAACTCAAAGCATAGTACAAGCATAATAACGGACAAAAATAGAAAATAACCCTAGATCTCAAACAACATACCCTCTATTTCGCCTTTGATTGTTATATATATACGAGGAAATCTCTCCCTGGAATCAAAGAAAACAGAAATAAAAATCAGAGATGTTGCCAAAAGTTAGGAAAAAAACAGAGAGAAAATAGAGAGAAAACAGGGAGAAAACAGAGACCTTTCCAGCGGCAACTGCTCCTCCCTCCGGCGAAGACTCCTCTCTCCGATTGTCAGTCAGTTGGGTGTTCTCCTCTGAGGCGGCAAAGACTCTTCTCTCTGGTGCTTTAGGACTTGGGTAATCAAAGAGAGGAAGAAAACATATTAGCATGGTAGATTCGGATTGCATCGGATCACCACCATTGGGCAACACGTCAACAAACACGTAGGAGCCATGTCAACACAGCGTAGCGAAAACCCAACGGCTATTTTTACGAAAACTAATAAAATAAACGCATAAATTTTTTTTTTTTTTTTTTTTGTGTTTTTTTAATAAACGCGCGTACCAAACAGTGATTTTAAAGTCAATAAGCGTTTATTGCGTCAAATACCGATATGACGCTGAAATGACACTGTTATTTCAATAAAAACTCGCCTGTGGGCGGTGTGAATCGAAATCGGATTCGTTACACTGTACGACTGTCTCGAAACATTGCCAGTCTCGAGTCTCTCGAGTCTGAGTCCACATCCTACTTCGCAATCGCAAGCGCATTTTAATGACTTAATGGCGGAAACCAATAAAACTACAATGGCCGAAGATGAAGAAGATTACATGGGCGATCTCTCTCAATTTCTCCCTCCTGAAACCTCTCATCCTTCTAACTTCTCTCAGAAGAAGGTGATATATGCTGTTTTCTTCGTTTCCCTTACCTTCAGGCTTCTTCTTCCCAGCTTTCTTCCCAAAACCCTAACTTTTCTCTTCTGCAGAGCTCTAACAGCACCAAACCCCTAATTCATCAACCCTCGAAGAAGAAACTCAAAACTCTTAACTGGCAAGAGCAACGAAAAATCGACCGGGAGCGAAAGCAGAGGGAAGAGGATGAACAAACCCTCGCGAAATTCGACTCCGCCATTCCTCAATCCAACATCGGATTCAAGATGTTGAAGAAAATGGGGTACAATCCCGGTTCATCCTTGGGCAAGAACGGGAACGGTCGTGCCGATCCGGTTGGCATCGAGATACGACGGTCCCGGGCCGGGATTGGCAGCGAAGACCCAGAGAAAGAGAAGCTGAGGAAAGAGAAGGGTAGAGATGAAATGAAGAGGAGAAAGGAGGAGAGTTTAATGATGGAATTTGGTTGCAGGCAGAAGTCGCAGTGGCGTAGCCGGCACATTGCTGTTAACTTCGAAAAGGCAAAAGCGGCGCTTGCGCAATTGGAAAACGAGGACATTATCGAGCCCAAGAAGGAGGATGAACAAGACGAAGAGCAGGAAGAGGAAGAGGAAGAGATTACGGAAGAGGTACGTTTGGTTGGAATTATATGTCTTAGTTTGTGATTAGACTATATATTAAGGTTGAATCAATCTGAGCATTATATTGATAAACTAGTAATTGATTTAAATATGTTTGATGACTGATATCGGGAACTCAATAGCGTGCAATGCTGTTTATGCCTCCAAAAGGATATCAACAATACAGTGTTTTGAATTTGTGAGTTGAGTTCAATTGAAGCCACCTGGGGAGGGATAGAAGCTTCCATCTGGGTAATTGTCTCTTGAATAGAAAAAAAGACATCGTAGGGATGGAGGCCTGGAGGAGCTCTTTGGAGCCTTGACCAGGGCTCAAGTATTACAACCTGAGGAAGTGAATGAATAATCTTATGCTTTTTCAATTTTCACTTGTAGCCTGGTAACTGTGGTGTCAATTGTGCTGTTCAAGAAGAGGGGTACCGAAGCCAAGTACTGATATTAGTTAATTTGATGCTTTACGGGCTTGTCTAGGCACTGTGTGACTGCGTCTAGTTTAAGAGATTGAGCAAGAGACAGAAGCTCCATACTACAACATTGGTTCAGTAATATTTGCATTCTTGAAATTTATACATTAGGTGATTAGTGAGGCCTTATTTGGGAAGGAGAGATGACCACGCTGGGAATTACATAGGAAATTCAGCATCTGAACAATTAATGCAACCCAATTAACAATCAAATTGCAAAACTTCGAGATGGCATTTGGTTGCATGTGGTAGTTAGATAGAAAACATTGCATAGTTCGGCTACACAATCAAATGCAGTGGCACTGCAATCGTTTTTTTTTTACTTTGATATGGCACTGCAATCATTATTAGAGTTACAGGTGGATTGGTAAAGTTGAAGGTGCTTGAAATCTGTCATATACCCAAATCTATTATCTTATCTTGATTTATTAGTGGGCTGTTCTTTCTCTTGGAAAATTTCCCACTCGGTTGTGCTTACATATCCTTGCATGCAGGATTTGCATGAAATACTGATGAAGCTCAGAAATGAACACCGATATTGCCTCTTCTGTGGATGTCAGGTGGGCTATGGACTTTTTAAGTCTTCTCTGTTAAGCAGTTTTGTAGATTAGCTTATATTTCTCCTAGAACTGTAAACTAAAGCAGGACTCTAAGTTTGAAATACTATACCTTCAACACCTAATTTCAGTATTCTAATTAACATTCTTATGGGTCCTGTCCTGTAACAGTATGAATCAATGGAGGCACTGATATCCAACTGTCCTGGAACAGAAGAAGATGACCACTAATTCCTTACCTCCACCACAGAGAGCTCAAATGCGGTATTATATTTGCATTGCCATGAGGCAAACTTGATATAGTGGCCCCTTCCATGAAGATTCAACTGCAAAGTGCAAATAGAGAAAAACTGCTGGATAAGCGTTACAACTTACAACAGGTGTATACAGGCATGCGGTTCCATTAAGGAAGGTTAGAAAGGATACTACAATTTAACTTTTTTCATTGTTTTTCTTATCAATATGTAACTTATTTCATTGTTGTAATTTGTAAACCTTGAAATCATGGATTTCTTTTTTCATTCCTCATCAACCCATGCTATTGCTCATATACAGAAAAGCTTCTGAACACTCTTACTGGAAACCAAATATGATAGAAATCCTCCTACAGAGAACTTATTTACCTAGCTAGTAAAAGGTCCAAAGCATCAGTAATACAAAGAATATCAAAGGCAATTTTATGAGATGTATTGGGGTATTACTTATAAAGCGATAGATAATAATCAGAAGATTACACATGTTTGCTAGAGAAATTTATGCAAGTGTTAGAATACACCAATATTATTAATTTTAAGGCTCGAATGGATGTATATGGTATAAAAAAACTATGTTTTATTTTTAATCTCTTTTTCTATTTCACCTTCTTCAGCACTTTTTGTTTAAATACCCGACTTTTTACGCTTTTTTGAGGGGGGAAAACAGTGAATCTAGAGTCGCCTAGGCCTTAGGGAGCTGTCTACAATTTTTGAAATTAAAGATGTGATTTGAATGGATTTCCATCACCCATGTTGAGTTTGTAGTATCAGTCCTTAATCTGTATCAGACCATCAGTGTGCATCGGTCATTATCAACACATCGGTCCAATTCACACCGACAGTCAAGGAAACAGTGAAATCCGTTTAAGATATCGGGATTTCACTCACCTCTGTATTGTGCTGCCCAGCCCAAAAATCAATACATATTAGCCTGTATCAGTTGATGTTCATTGATACTTTGAAACTTGACTAAAGTTCATGGAGGAAGGTCTTTGATAAGCTTTACTGCCGTACAGCAAGATTCAAAATATTGATGCGCGTATCGGGCAAATCGATATCTTGATTTTTATTTATTTATTTATTTTTTAAATCGGTTTAGGGGAGCCAGTTTAGGGCTCCACCCCCTGAACCAGTCAGACCCCCGATACACCCACTGTAGAGGCGTATCGGAAGGGTCCCAGAATGATACATATCGGCTAATATGAACCTATACATGTCGATACCTTGAACCTTGCCTTACAGTCAACTGCACTTGCCAACTCATCCCTGCGCCCTAACCAGCAGATTCTAGCTTAAATGCCCAACACTGCTTTCAAAATTCAGCCTTGATGGCTCACTTTGAAAAGAGTATAAATACTTTTACATATTTCTATGTAATGTAATCCTTTTAGGCTCAGTTTGGAAGAATATGGTACAGTGCAAAATCTTTTTGTATTTCTAAACCAAATATTTTTTTAGACCGACAAGACCTTTAGAATTCTGTTCAGCATTGCAGGTGTCCTGTTAACACCTAGTAGAGCCTTTAGCCATTGTTTTGCCAAGAGCCTGGCACTTGTAGCCTATATATTGGTGGTGGGCAACTGGGCGTAGCAGTATCCTGATCCTCAACTGCCTCTACTTTCGAACGTGGCACAAGATGACGCCCCCCAGTTGACAACTTAAGCCAGTTCGCCACATTGACGTTTGACACTACTTGGCTCCCTATTGACCCTTTTCCGGATTGTGTGTCTGTGTGGATAAATTGAACCAGAGTAGTAGGGAATCTCATACCAGGAATCAAAACAGAACATAAAGATGGTCAATGCTTCAGTATGGAAATTTCCACATGAGAAGCTTGAGATCTGGCAGAAGCAGCCAGGACTAGGAGGCATAAAAAATGGCTGTCCCTCCGTCCGGTGTCTGAATACTATAGTAGTCCAGGAAAAAAAAAACGTTAATGAGGATATGTTTTGTCCCATTACCAGGGCCTTGTCAATCACATTTTTCTAGTGTTACGGCCATTAATGAAACCATCTCCGACCATGATTGATCTACTAAGGATAGCATAACAATGCTGTGACAACACAAACGCCCCAGCCCCAGGCTCTCAGCCAGGTACCGATCACCATACAATACAAACATGCTATTATCAATTCTGTCAATACCAAGGAAGAAAGGGGCTGCCAGAAAATACGCAAAACAAAGCAAGCTCCTATCAAGTCAAGAGACTCAAGACTAAAGAACCAGTAAGATACTTGACATCCCAAGAATCAGTAATCCCTGTGTGTGCTGGTTGCTGGGTTCAGTAGCCAGTAGCCAGTAGCCACTGTTTCTGAGGAGCAGTGAATCACAACCACCACAGGCAGCATATGCGCATTTTACCTTTGATAAAACATAACATAGCTAATGCTGGTCCATTGATACAAAGACCAGCTTAATATTGGATATCAATCTCTGTCAAATTACCCAACAAAAATTGAAAAGAACCTCTCTGTTCCTAATTTATACCTACTTTACCCAGTAGTAATCTCCAACTGAAAGCAAGTGTATTTTAACAAGTCTGAGCAAATACCAAAACTTATTTTCAAGGTCATTAAAGCCCTGGAACCGAATAATGGAGTCTGAGCAAAACTGGGCAAGGCATTAGGACATCCACGGGAGAAGCACAAGCCTAAGCTCTAAGCGGGGTCTCTTAAAGAGACCAGTGCATCTGATGAGTAGAAGAACCGTAAGCCCTTGAGCTCCCAAGTTCCATATATTGTCTGCTCCCCTGCTGAGAAAGTTCAAGCTCACCGGAGAACTGACTGTCAATGGATTGTGAGAGTTGCCCAAGGCCTAGATCACGTGGAATCTCCTGCGAACTGCTACCAGCTTCATTTCCCTTAAAACTCCACGTATTGCTCATAAAGTTGTTTGCTACAGCACCATGGGGTGCTGATGATTGAACCATTGGGGCCCCATCGTCGTTCATCAAGTTATTCACTGTAAGATCAGATGCTTGGGTTCTGGAGCCCCATGGTTGAGTTGACAGAAGAGAGAGAGCACAGCTGGAGTCTGAGACTCCTGCAAAACATTCACCCGGATGCATACCGGAACTGGAAAAGACCGTCCCACCCACTGAACCTTGCAGATATGGGTGGGAGCTGTGAGAGAACGCAGTGCCTGTAGGGTTCTCTGAGCTTCCTGGCCATAGATGTGGGAGAAATTTTCCAGTAGCCATTGGTTGGTTGTTTGGTTGTCGATCACCAGCCCTTATGATTGGCCATACATCCCTTGCCGGCTGTCTTGGATATGCTGTGAAATCCATCAGAAAGCCACCAAGTCTACCGCTAGCTTCTGCAAATTAAGAACAAAAAAATTGTCAAACACAAAATATACAAGGGGAAAACGAGGAAATCTAAAAAAAGTTGTACTCCATAAATAAGTAATTCTGTCCCTTAAGAAGCAATTTCTACTGTTGCCATCTGACCATGGAGAGATGATGAAAGACGTCCATAGCGTGAAGCTAACAGAGATCCAGGTGGTGGCTTCCTGCGACGCTCATTGTGCCCTGCCAGACGTCTACGACAACTTCGTTTTCCTTGGTCAAATTCAGGTAGCTGATGAAATCTGTGCAGAAGCAACCCCAGAAGTGATGAATTCTTTTTTTTTTATTTTGATAATTCAGAAGTGAAGTGATGAATTTTAATAGTCTTAATGGAAGAAAACAGCATTTACCCTTCTTTTTCACAAGCAAACAACCAGATAGAAATTGAAATTGAACATATAAAGATGCAATGGACCACTGTTGCATGGACTCTTCTCCTAAATGGGCAACGTGACCAACATGGACATGCCCGGTAGCCTGACACTCCATGAAATCTTCAGGGCACTCTAGAAACTTTTCCTTGTTAAGTTCAACACCTACTACAATTGTTTTCTTTCATCATATAGCAGTCAAAGAACGAATAATGTTACTTGGCTGCTGCACATTCATCAAAAGAAGAGGAAAAACAAACTACATATTCATGAGACAAGATTCAGTGAACCCCCCGGGTTCACGGGGCACGTGAACCCTCCAATAGGAGGCGTGCACGTCGCCCCTTTTGAGTCATTCACGAAAAAACAGGAGGCTCAAAGGGGCGGCGTGCGCGCCTCCTATTGGAGGGGTTCACTGAATCTCGCCTATGTCAAAATCTAATGGAATTTATGTTTTTTTGCTAATCTAGCGATATTTATACAAGAGTATATAACAGTTACAAAGGCAGTTGCCCAGTTACTCAGGTGAATTGAAGCATGGACTTCACCACTGTCCAAATTGTTTAGGCGTCCCTCAATTTGCCATCATTGGAATACCTACTTGCCTAGGCAACATGTTAAAAACAATGGAAATTCAAAGAAGATTAATAGATAAAAATTTGCAGCCGGATTAATTGTCCATCAGCCCTAGGGTTACTGACAGAGTAAATTATAGAAAGAGGGATTGTACTGAGTGGGCCAACTGTATGGTTTAAAGTTGTAGCATAGTACCATTGTTGTATTTGTTTCTTTTGCCCAAGAGAAGCACTACATATAGACTCTCTTTTCTTTTGGTAGTTGAAATCATATAGATTCTTTCTTAATAAAAGATAAAGACTATTCTAGAAAATGAAGAAAAATTCTGTACCCTTGATAAGCTTCCATCCAAGAGTTAATAACTTAATATGATAATATAAATATTTTAAATGGAAAATCTTGAAGGAAATTGGATTCTTGAAGCCATTTAAAACTTACAGGATTGATTTATTTTCACCTGGACTGTCAGCTGCTCCAAATCTTATTAGAAATAGAGCTTATTGCATAGAGTGAGACCAAGTATTGCAAAGGGTCCCTAAATGCTGGGTTTCTTACTCAAGTTAGTAGGAGGTCTTACTAGCCTCCTACTAAAAGCTATTGTGGTACAAGGAGGTCTAGTACTAGCCTCAAGTTAGTAGGAGGTCTATTACTAGTCATAATGAAATCAATATTTACTATTTTTAGCAACTTCTGGTTTGTTTAGTCTTTACATTAAGTTAGTCATAGTAAGATTTGTAAAGTGTTAAGGGAGTTGTTTCAGGAATTAGAGTCCTAATTTATGTATCTCCATGGATTACCTATGGCATTGTTTTAGTTCTAAAGCAATTAGAAGTTGTTTTGGGTCAGATACAGACTGAAAAAAGACATCCAAGTTCTTATTGTGAGTCTATATATAGACTCATAGAAAGTGCAATCTAGAAAAGTTGATTTGATATTAATAAAGTTTGATTTAGCGAATTCTGGTTGTTGCCAAGAATTTTCTCTTCTTTCCCTTTCCACTTGGGCTATGTTTGGTTTGAAGGAAAAGGTAGAGAAAGGAAGAGAAAGGTAGGGAAATCCATACAAGGTTTGTAAAGGTTTCCCTACCTTTTCCTTCAAACCAAACACAGCCTTAATATCATCTTCTAAGATACATATCCCAACGTTGTTTACTCTAACAGCAAGGGTTCTCACTCTTTGTCTCTTTCCAATCTCTTGCTCATCCTTTGGTGGAAAGCAAGTTGTCTACATGGTTCTCCATCTCTATTCTTGATCATTAATCACCAATCATCTCTTTTCACTCCACAAAGCCCACAACCGATCTAAAAGTTGTAGGACCCCCTACCTGTCCTGAATCATGGTGTAAGACTCAAGTCTAAATCAAAGGTCTCAAAACTTAGGATCCACCAGGTTTATCGCCATCTCTTCTTATCTCTAAATATATTTCCTTCTGTGTGTTGAAACCATTGACCCCCACTATACATTCCCTAATCCTTGCATACGGAACATCACATATCAAGCCTTGACACCAAAATATAAAGTAATGAATAAATAGATGAAATTTGAAGGATGGTAACTATGCTACCAGAACGGAAGTCAAATAAGAGGATAAAACCACCATATCTAGATTTAAATTTTCAGCATCAGATAGGGAAGGATACAAGAATGATCTCTCCAGTTTTTTTAAAAGTCTCTGATAGGTTTTATGGTTTAACGAGGCTAAATTTGCTCTAAGGTTTACTTTATTGCCTAACAACAAACAGAAAATGCAAATTAAGATTTCTGTTGAAAATTATCACAAGCATATGACTCATAACACAAATAAATAAATAAAATCTGCCTCTTGGATGTCTAGGGTTGGAAGCAGCATAAATGCAAGGTAGAATCCAAGCCAAGCAAAAATTTACCCCTTAAACCAGCTTTTGTGGCATTGAAGAAACAAATATGTCATTCAATAGTCGACTATTGAGGGTTACAGGTGTACAAAGCACACCTACAGAGTGAAGGCCCTTGCATTATGTCTCTTTTTGTAGCAAAATAATTTGAAAACCCACCAACTGCCAAATCTAGTTCTCTTTCCATAAAATATCTTCTAAAAGCATACCTAAAAGCTAAAACAAACTTTTATAATTACTATTTAAGCATCTATCAAAAGGCCACAGTCAAAACCTACTATAAAACCACCACATTGGAAGTTGTATGATTTAGTGACAACTCAACATGGAGTACAGACTATAACTACAAAGATTTGGGGTGTCTACTAACTTGTATGTTTTTGTTTTAAGAAAACAAGACCATACATATTTGAGAATACCTCCTTAATAAACCCCCCAAAGCAGAAAACAGTACCCAGATTCAGCGATAACTTGCTCAAACCATGTGCACCATGCGCATTTGGATAGCTAAGCAATTATACCATAAGGAATTGAACTTGTTTCCGATAGAAAGTGGTTTGCACATATAAAATGACAGGTTCAGATACCACATAGAAAGGAATTTGGCCAGTGTCCTTCTCAGCTAAACAATGATACTTTAATCAAGCCTTACTTCACATGCCCATTCTCCACATTTAAAGCCAATGTCCAGTTTCAAAAAAAAAATAACGAAGAAACTTTCAGATAAATGTGTTTTCTAAAAGGGCAGACTTAATTTCCATGTTACCAATAAGAAGGTTCAGAAACAGACATGAAGCCCAACAAGAGACATTTCTTCAATTCCTCAAGAATCCAAAAGACCCACAACTAGAGCAAGAAAAAAAAAACACAACTAAAATCCAACTTCCGATCAAATTTACAATCACAAATAAATTTGAGAACACCATGAAGCAATATTAACGATTAAAAGAGCACACAGAATCCAATACAACCAATCCATTCAACAGAACTAAATCAGAGAAAACTCGAATCCAATAGAAAATGACCAATATCCCATTTACCCCAATGACACAGGCCAAATCTTACCGAATGCCCACTAGAAAAGAATAAAAGACATTCCTAATGAGGAAACATATTCACTGCACAACCCAGACCTCGAAACAGTGGAATGAAGAACAAAGTAACGATCGAACACCCAAAAAGATGTCCAACAAAACCTAACACTACAATCGAAAAAAAAAAGCTAACAAATTCCAAAACCATTTTTTAAAGATAAAAGTACAAAAGTAAATAAGGCAAAGCAAAAGTCGACTGACCTGCTACACTGCTGGCAGAACCTCTGCTCCAGACCAGCTACAATCACCTTGGGAGACTTGGAGTGCATACCGCAAACCTTGTGCCTGGAATAGTAAGCTTTGGCTCCACTTAGATCCACCTTACATCCCTCAACCTGACATCTTGGAGGCTCGCCACCCTGCACAACTCCCCTCCCCTTCTTCGCCGGCGCCGGCGCCGATGCCGACCCCTCAGAAACTGAAACCGACGACGACCCACCTCCTGATTTTGACGAAACTCCGGCACCCACATCTTCAAAGTAGATTTTCTTGCCGAACTTCAAGCCATTCAGTGAATCAGACGAACCAGAGGCCGCTGAAACAGCCAAAGAGCTCGAACCCATCTCCATGTGTGGCCTCTAGTTTCCATTCATGGCTGTTCTGTGGGGCACAAGACTGAAAGGTGGGTTTTTGAGGAGGGAGATGGGTTAAAGGTCTGATGGAAAAAAAGGGGGAGATGAGTTTTGCTGGTTACAGCTCTCCGGTCTTTTGTTAGAGCCGGTAGTGTTGTATAAAGCCGACACCTGCCATTTGGGCCATGCCAGCTCGGGTTATAGTACTCTGAGAAGACTGTCAAAAATTGAAGAGAGAGAGTATTTGTTGTCTGTGTGTGCGTGTGTAAGAGAGAGAGAGAGAAGGAGAGAAGGAGAGAACGAGGAGAAGAGACAGGAGAGTCGTACTTTGGGTCCTGCTGAGCTTTTCAAGTATCCTTTTGTGGTCACTAAGGTAGTATTTTTTTGAGGCTGTATGAGCTCAAACTCATCGTCTTTCAAAACAAAAGAGAAAAAGAGAGGGGGGCAGGGGCTTAAGCCTTAATGGAGAGTAGTGTTTCGAGTTTTGTTGCAGTAATGAACACTAATCTTAATATATACCCACATTGAACAGGAAAAAGGTTTCCTAATGTGGCTTTTGAAGCTTTTTTTTTCTCATTATTTATATCTTCATGCCTCTTTAAATTTAAAGTCTGAACTTTCGGTTTTCTTTTTCTTTTCTGGTTATTGTGAATTTCTTGATGCTTGGTGGGGAAGAACTAAGAAGTGACTATATGAAGGAACCCATACCCAGCTTTTTTTTTTCTTTTTTGTTTTTTTCTAAGCAGTGTGAAGGAGGTTGAGGTAGGTTGAGAGGTTTTTCTTTTCTAATTTCTATGGGGGTTGGGGGGTGTTGGTACTGCAGGCTGAAGGTCTTTGGATTTACAGAGATTTTGGATTGGAGTGAGCCAGTGACATTTTGGGGAGCCCGGAGGGAGCTTTCTAAGATTTTAATGTCTTTTTGTAGATTTTAGGCGAAGGAGGTACTGTTGCGGAATCTAGCAAACAAATCTTAGAGAATTGACATAACTCTGAGTTTCCCAAAATACCCTTTCTTCTTTTTCTACTCTGGGAGAAATAAAGGTGGTCTTTTTTTGTACAACTCTTGTTTTCTTTACGTTTGTATGAGAGGAAGAGAAAACCCAGAAGGAAGAAATGAGCTCCAAATGCAGTTCGTTAGTTTGATTTTAGATGCGATGCTGTTAGAAGTAGCTTCGGTTTTAATGTGCAATAAATATATTTTCCTTATTCTGTCCTGTATTTCCTTCTTTCATGGGTCCCTTTTGCCATTTCCAAGCACACATTGGTAGTTTCGTTTGGTGCAATTAGGTCTACCTCTGGTTTTAGTTCACTGGTTTGAATATTCTTGTTTTCTATTATATATAAATTTTTTGGTATTTATTATATAAATGATTAGATGTATATTTAGTTAGACACAAATGTGTATATATATATATATATAGTTATAGTTATGATGGTTTGGTTTGGCCTATTGATCCATTTTCTTCTTCTTTTTTTCTGAAAAAAAAAAAAAATTGTTGTGAGATCCATCATTATAAATTGGACCCATCTTGAAATCCATGTAAGTGGCCGATCTCAACTGGTGGACCATCAATTGGCAATTTTGGTTCAATAAAGAATCAAGGGTGACGTTTCTGTTGTCTGATTGGAATCTAGCCCACATTGTGTTTGACATAAATGCCACCAGAGACCACTCCATTGCTTAAAAATTAAAATCATTCCCTCACAAAAGAGAAGCCTTGATGAATCCCCAGACCCATAATTTGGAAATTGGAAAAGAAGCTGAAAGGATACCTTCCATTCTTCCTTTTGAAGAAAAAACTATAAAAAGGATTGGCCTATTGTTTTGCTTTCTAGCTAGTTGTTACTTGTTAATTACAATCTGCCTTGGACTCTGAAAGTTCATCTGGTTCTTGGATTACGTACAAATGTATATAACCCATGTGTAGTTCCATCAGCTGATGGTGGCCCACGTTTTTAGATTCTCAAATTTCAATCCACACATCGAGTATGATATGAAATAAGATTGCAATATTAAAAAAAATGGTGTTAATAGACACACAACATCCTTATGTCTTCCTGAAAAGAATGGATTGAATCAAAGGATCCACGTCAAGTACCACATCAAATATCAAGTACAGGTTGGATATTGTGGCATTATCAATTACCAAGGATGCCAAAAACGGGGATATTGTTAGTCTGCAAAAGTTTGTGGCATTATCCAGTCCAAATGGGGAGGATTCCAAGTGATCAGGAAATGATGAAACAGAGAAAATATATTGAAGTAGCTGTTTTGTTTAAAATTTGTTGATGATTTACAGCTAGGGTTGGAAATTTGGGATTTGGTAACGGGTCAGATCCTGGTGCAACTAAACCTTATCAGGTTCAAAATTTAAAACTGGGAAGTGGGATGGTATTGCTTGATCCTGGCTCCAGGTCCAGGTGGAGGGGAGATTGTCAATGTATTAAGCATTCCAAAATACTTTCTAATAAACAACCAAACTAGCAGAGAGAATTAGGGTACTTAAAGCCTTTGAATCACAGAGTATATAATATAAAACCAATTTGAGCCTGGTTTAATCAAAAAGCAGAGTTGAAAAGGGAAAAAAATAAATATAGATACCCATCTTATCAAATGATCTTTAATGGATGATTTATGTCTGGGGTATATTCCCAATGGGGTCCACAAATTGATCTATATCTCTATTTGAATTGTACTCTTGAAAAACAATGTAGAGGGGATGAACACATTAGGTTGCAAGTCTTTTTCTATAAATACTTATTTTTTTCAAACATGGCCTCTGCCCTCCCCTCCCTTCCTTTCCTTTCTCCACCATAAAGACAAAGACAAAAAAAAAAAAAAAAACAGAGTTAAAAATACATTAAGTTACAAGGAATCGAAATTTCGATCGTATTAGTCAACATCAGTAAAACAAGAAGACACTAACCAATGTAAGCTTAATATAAGGGCGGTTAGAACCCTAAAAGTCCACTGGGAGATCAACTACCTTCTTTTTTTTTTCTTTTCTGTTCCCTTGTAAAGTTTTTGCTTTCTAAGTTTTCATCAGAATGCTTCAATTCAACCTCCAATTCACACCCGTCCATATAAGTGAAAATGACTTCCAGAGCCAGAGGTTAGCACTATCTAGTTTCAGGGAGAAAAACACGAAGACAAGGCATATACGCTATTATTGGTTCCTTTTAAAGAGGCACAGCACAGCCAGACTTCACAGAATTACGAAACTATACAAACATGTGACAGAAGGCCAATAATCAACGTCAGGGACCCACCATCATCAGTTGTTTGTTTCTACAATATCTTTCACTTATTAGAAACCCAAGATTTTGTTTGTCTCCTAGTAGTAGATGGCAATATCTTGGTGGCAGTGAGTTGGGTCTCAGCTCAGACCACACAGATGTCATGCTTCAGGCTTGGTCTGGGCCCTTTGTAACATGCCTTAAATATGTGGAGGATCAAAACCCAACATTGGATGGGTCCTACCTTGAAAAGTCCCATACACAAGGTGGGCACCATGAGAACATAACCAACTTTTTGGCAAACTTATTACTAAGTAGGTCGGACCATTACATGCAGTTGGGTTGGTTGCACCAGTATTTATCAAATGCAATGATGGGAAAAGAGGTCAGTGAAAGGTGAAAATGAAAGGAGAAAGGAATGGATGTAAAAAATTTTATATATGCATATACTAAACAGACCTTCTTTGGTGCACTGAAGCTACTTAATTAGGACAGCAGTTGGAATTGGTATTACAGCTTGAATGGTCAGTCCAATAAAGGCAAAACAAAACAAAACATATTTTCAGAAGCTAACAGCTATTCATTGTGCATTGACCTCACTCAACTGTTGGGGCTTGGTCCCTTTTTGCTTATTTTCTTCATAAATGGGTTCAGTCCAGTTCTTGAGCACTTCTTAACAACAAGTTGGAAAGGGAATTTGATGTATTTGTTTTTGAAAGCTTTCTGGTTGTTATTTTCAGAGCTTGTTGAAAACCCTTTTCTTCAGCATCCAAATTTATACAGCAGAAAGCTTACTCTTGGCACAGTTTATCCCCAGACTAGTCACAACCCTTCAAATGTGAGAAACGTGGCTGTTTTGAGTGTTTTACAGGGCCCAGAATAAATTGCTTTAAAGGGGGTTGCTTCTGGGTTGCCTTCTTTGGAGTGCTACTTTAATTGTAATCGTCTTCTTTCATTTCTTTTTAATAGAAACAATTCGTTCACTCTTAATATCTATGTCCAGGGTAGTCCTGTTTTTAACTCAATTTGGGATTTCATAGAGGGAAGAAGGTAGTTAAGTTCCTTTCCATATATGGAGAATTTTTTCATAGGGATGGAATGAGGGTGGGTGAGACAAACAGTGAAGGAAGCTCATAAAAAACTCCCCCTTCGTGGAAGGAACTAGCTAGTTAGCTTCCTGAGTAACAAAGTTAAACCATTGATAAGAGAGAGAGAGAGAGAGAGAGAGAATAATGAAGTGGGCACTAAATGTTCTTTTTGGTTAGCCATTCATCTTCAAAACAAAACCAACCTATCAGAAGAAAGGAGTACAGTTTTACCAAAAACAAAAAAAAAAAAGAAGAAAGGAGTACAGAAGAACTTCGATGGGTACATTCCCTTTCCCTCTCTCCTTGTTTGCCTTTTCTTTACGAAAAGCTTACCAATGTATTTCAACTTCAAGATAAGCAAATGCATGGAAACTTCTTACCAAACAGTAAGGTTGTATCCTGTAATTTTCTTTTTAAGTCAAATCTTATTGTCTTCTTTTATACAAATTCTTTTGGAAAGAAAATAAAAATAATTATGACAGTTCTTTTAGGATACGACAGAGTTTAGTCAAATCGAAAACAAAACCATTTTGTTGAACACTCCCTATTAATGTTTCTGAAAACGATTAAGGGGGTGGGGTGTTTGCTGATGTGACAGCTGTTTTGAAAAACAAAACCATTAATTAAATGATTTTGATTTTGAAAATCATTGGCCAACACCTCTACTAATTAGGAGGGTCCTTGGCAGAACTCAAAACACTCCTTGCATGTTGCTTGGAGACTCCTCTACAATGGTTGAGCTTTCACTGTTAACACCTGCAACCTAAGATGTATTTCTTCATTTTTAGGTTCTAATTGAATACATAGCCAAAACAAAATATGAAAGCCATGCTTTGCATCAAAAAGACAATAAGAATTAATAATGCAAATAATTTGGAATCAGATCTCTTGATGATCTTATTACTATACCATATAAATAGCATCTCTAGCTCTATGGTATAACTTATAAGCAAAGAGAGCTAGCTCCATGAATATGGAGATATTCTGATGATGATCTCCACAGACAAATATGTGGATGTTATCTATGAGAATATGACTTTTTTCAGAAAAAACCATATCAGCAAAAAAGAAAGCAACATAACAAAAATGTGTTATTGGATGTGTACTTTTCAAAGCAAAGTGAAAACATTTTCAATTTGATTCAGAAAATAATTAACCTTGTTTCCAATTTTCTTTTTTAAAAAAATTTTGAAAAATAAAAATGTGTTTTCACTTCCTAATGCTAAGATGAACACTCCAATATCTGATCTCCCATACCCTCTTACAAGTGCTGATTTAAAGCTTCTATGGACCATACCAAACCACATTTAAGTGAGCTTGGGTCCTAAGTATAAACAAAATAAAAATACAAAAGTAAGCTAATATCCAGATAAAAATATGAGCTTGGGTCTTAAGTGAGCTTTGATCAGAATCAGTATCTATATATATGTTTTATAAAACATGATGCCAAAGCACCAGATAAAAATATGATTTTGAAACTTGAACTTAAGAACATGCTTCTGGTCTGAGTTTTTGAAACAAGA